AAAGAGGTCTGCATTGGATAAAATGTTCCTGTTATATATTTTACTGCAATAAAAAAGAGGTTCAAGCAAACTATTGGTGAAATGAAGAGGAAGGATTAATTCTATTTTTTATTTTTTTTTAAGATTTTTATTTATTTATTGAGAGAGAGAGAGCATGAGAGGGAGGAGGGTCAGAGAGAGAAGCAGACCCCCTGCTGAGCAGGGAGCCTGATGCGGGACTCAATCCTGGGACTCCAGGATCATGACCTGAGCCGAAGGCAGTTGCTTAACCAACTGAGCCACCCAGGCACCCCAATTCTATTTTTTAAAAAGATCTTATTCATTTATTTGAGAGAGAGAGATAGTGAGAGAGAGCACGAGCAGAGGGAGAGAGAGAAGTAGGCTCCCCGCTGAGCAAGGAGCCTGACATGGGGCTCGATCCCAGGATGCTGGGATCATGACCTGAGCCGAAGGCAGTTGCTTAACCAACTGAGCCACCCAGGCACCCCAATTCTATTTTTTAAAAAGATCTTATTCATTTATTTGAGAGAGAGAGATAGTGAGAGAGAGCACGAGCAGAGGGAGAGAGAGAAGTAGGCTCCCCGCTGAGCAAGGAGCCTGACATGGGGCTCGATCCCAGGATGCTGGGATCATGACCTGAGCCGAAGGCAGACGCTTAACCGACTCAGCCACCCAGGTGCCCCGAAGAATTAATTCTAACTGAAGATGGGCATGGAGGATGGTCAGGATTTCCACTGATTCTAATGACTTGGGGGTGGGAAAATCAGCCACAATTTTCCCAGGAATCTCGTGGGCAAGGCCAAGCGGCAGGGGCGCATGCAGGGTATTCAGGGGGCAGCAGAGGGCTACGATAAGGAAAATACTGGTGATAAGAAGGACAATGACAATGAAAAGGCAGGAAAGATCCTGACAGGGAGGAGAGGACCTTCATTCACCAGGTCTGAGGCAAAGACTTTATTCACAGGCAAAGGGGAACCCTGAAGCATACTGAGGAGGAGAGGCATGGGAGTGTGAGAGTGGCCAGGCTAGTTTAGAGGCCACTGTACTGGCCAGGCTAAAGGCGAGGCCAGAGCAGAGGGATGGGAAAAAAGGAGAGGGGAGAGAGCCTCACAGCACTTACGAGTACAGAGAAGGGAGAAAGAGTGTTGGGGGGGGACAGGTACACTACCTCACACTGTCTGAGGTTCTTAACCAAAATCCCGCCTACAACAGCAGAGTGCCTATCCACCACAGGTATTCTGAGGAGACTTCGGGAACCAACACTGTCACTTTTTGAAGGAAACTCCAGGGTTTCCCCCAGCTCCTCTCAAATTCCGCAGGAGCCAGACACAAAGCTTGTTTCTCCTTTCTTTTTTTCTTGCCTGTCAAGACCCATCACTCCTGGAGTCTGGGATCTCCTGGAGCAATGCCTTTGTATCTCTATTCTTAGCCTCTCCGCAGAAGGGTCAGCTCCGGCTTTCATAGCTGCGCTGGCGCGGAGTCACCATCCACGCCCGCTGGCCGTGTGGAGCCCAGGCAGAGGGGAAGAGAAGGCCAAGTTCTCGTCCATCTGTTTGTGGCCGGCGCGGCTTTGCACGGCTCATGAATGGCCGGCCTATGACTTCGTGTAGAATTCCTAAGGTCTCAGGGCCGCCATGCTGACTCCTAAATGATCGCAGGCCCACCTTCCACTCTGCATTCAGCAGTTTAGTAAGACACAAAATTTTAGCCTTCAGTTTTGTTTTTCTTTAAAAGACAAATAATCCACAGTATTTTTGACTTTTCTTTGCAGTTCCTTTTCCTGCATTCTAAGTTCCTTTCATTAACCTCATTTCCAAACTTTCCACTTGTAGCTGTGGACCCTAATCACGCATGAAACTTCGTTATTCAAAGACCTGGCACCGATCAGAGCAGAGTGGAACCACTGCCTTGCTCCACACATAGGACACTTGGGGTAAAACAAACCTCATTCTTGTTTTTTGCTGTAGCATCGCATTCACTGTTTTCAGGCTTCCTCAGGTGCTTCCATCTTCCTCCTTGGTCAAAAGTGATCATAGTCTGGATAGAATTATCTGAATGGAAAAAGAATGATATTAAGTCTGATACACTGGAAGCACCCTATTAAGTTCAGTTTATCATTGCATCTCTCTCTCCTGAGACTTTATAACACCATTAGAAATCTGGAGTCCTACAAGCTTCTAACATCCAATGGAACGGCTCAGTGTTGGTGAGTAACATGAGCAGCACTCCATGATATCTGAGGAAGGCTTCCCACCTCAACAGGACCCAGCTGATGGCAGAAATCATCTAGACTGATACTCTTGAAAAGATACCTTTTATCTCCTCACCAACACAAACAGGCTGATGTCCATTCTCCTTGCTTGCTTGCTTGCTTTGGAAGTAAAATCTACAATGGGAAAGCATCCCATTCTTTCCTCAGATAAGGCCAGGATACCAGGCTTGTTTTAGGGACTCTCAAGATGTGACTGTGATTTGAATGTATGTGTGTAAGTCTGGATAGTAATTCCTAGTTTTTGTCTCTCCACTACTCTGTATCTGATCTCTCTTATAATTTTTCTTTTCTTTTTTCTACATGTTTCTTCCCTGTTCTATTTTCAATGACATAAACTATTGCAGGTTTAAATTCAGAGACAATATGTTTTGAGATGTCCAAGGAAAATCAAAGAAGAAAGCAAATGAAGGGCAATTCATTTAGTCAATAAACATCTATTGTGTGCCTACTATGAAAACTGTTGTAAGCCTTCGGGACTCTACCAGTGAACAAAACAGAAAAAAAAAAAAAAACCAAACTTCGGGAAATAGACATCCTAGCAGGGTCAAACACCAGATGCTGTAAATAGGTAAATTATATAGTATATGAGACAGTAAATGCTATGGGAGAAACCTGCCCAGCTAAAGAGAGGCTGAGTGTGTCCGTGAGGGGCGGGGGGGGCGGGCGGTGGCGCGCTCACCAGACAAGTTTCCAACGGGATAGCCAGGGCAGGTTCCAGTCAGAAAGCAACATATGAGCACAGACGGGAAGGAGCATGGCGTTAGCCTTGCAGCTCTTTGGGGAAACAGAGAACAGTGCCTGCAAATCTCTAAACCATGTGTGTGTGCAGAGGACTGGAGTGACCAGAATGCAGTAAGCAGAGGGGAGAGAGGTGGGAGCTGAGGTCAGGGAGCAAATGGGGGCCAATACTGCTTAGGACCTTGCAGACCATTGCAAGGTCTTTACAAATAAAAACAAACAACCCCCACCTCCTACCAAAAAATAAATACATATTTAAACAAAACCTAAAGAGCCTTTTTGTACTTTAGGCTGACGTGTTTATTTGTATAACTGGGCCTTAGCAAAGGTGAGCTCTGCAGAACCACTGAGTTGGACACAAGAGAAATGCTGGCTGGCTACAGTTGTGTCCTCTACAAGGAGAAAAGCAGGTAGTGGTTCAAACTCAGGCTCATTCCCCTAGCCCTGAACCTCCCAATATAGAAAACTTATTTTTTTAAATTTAACACTTATTCTAAACAACACAGAACCCAAAAAGTCTTTCTTTTTACCTGCTGTTGCTTTGGGTTTTTTTAGTTCTATTTACCATAACTTACGTAAAATAAAGAGCGAGCCAGAATTTACATGGATAGGCTTGTAGGCTAGGCAGGCAACATTACTGGGGGGACAGGACCATTATTCTCCCAAGCCTCAACTCCCACCATTTTCAGCTGAAGCGCAGCTGTGCCCAGACTCACCTTCTGAGAGCACACTTGTTATGTAGACCCCGCGGAGGGAGGTCACATTGGTAAAGTCTGTCTCACCACCTGTGGTGGTGTACAGATGTCGGTCTAAGGACTTGGAATAGACAACGCCTCGATCGTCTGAGGTGAAGATTGTGCCAAATCCGGTATCTGAAATAGGCAGATACACAAAAACACTAAGTCCTGGGAAGGAACGGAGAGAAAACAACAGTCTAACCATACGCATGACTGAATGACTGACTGCAGACATTAGCCAACGGTCTCTCTTCATGATGTAGATGCAGACCTGAGAATTAATCATGGTTTGATACTCGTGATTTTCATGTCCACCTTTAATTCCAGCACCCAGCTTGGTGCCTGGCGTATGGCAGATGCTGTTTGTTGGATGGATTACTCAGATGTTACAGAAAAGACCTTCCCAGATATATTCTGGTGGCAGAGGCAATGCATTTAGATTCATATCATACATATCTCTAAATCTTTATATTCCAGAACAATGCTTTTCAAACTATCTGTGGTGAAGGATCAATTTTTTTTTAAGTTTTATTTATTTAAGTAATCTCTATACCCAGTGTGGGGCTCGATCTCACAACCCCAAGATCAAGAGTCTCATGTTCCTCTGACTGAGCCAGGCAAGTGCCCTGGTAAAGGACCAATTTTTAAATTTCTATTATGGCACAAACTGATCATTTGTAAAATATAATAAAAATTAATCACAAGAAGAGTGAAATACAAAAGAGAGACAAAATATAATCCACAACTTTTTAATGATTAGATTCAACAGATATAAAATTACTCTGTCAAAGGGCTGTAGGAGTTTCTCAATGCTTCCTATTGCTTTCTGCACTTCCTTGGTAACAAAGAGTTTGCAAACCAGTATCAGTCCTCTGATTATCCTTTGAGCAGCAGTGCTCAAGGGTCTATGTGGACACACACATAAACCATACTATAGAGTCAAAACAAGGGGTCTTCTTAACAGAGACTACATATTATCTGTAAGACTGTGTATTCTGTAGTACACAAATACCTAGGGGTAAGAGAAAAAGTCAACGTGTAAGAAGTAAGCTCGAAGTCGAACTTGAAGCTTCCGTCTCTATGCATTCAAGGGTGGGCCACTAAAAAAGCTCTTACCTCCAGGTTCATCTACATGCATGAACACCATGTCATCATTAGCTGCTAGAATAGAATAGAATTGTTCCTGCCCCACAGAAGGTAGCTGGGCCATGCTCCATGTGTCCCCTTGATCTGTTGACACATGAATCCTTCTTGTTGCATCCTGGAACAAATGCCAATATTTATCTTTTTAATTTTCTGCCAAGATGCCCTGTGCAGGGACATGAATAGGAACATTATTATTCATATTTATGAGTATCATTATCCATTTCCTCACTAGGTACAACTGTTATAATTGACAGGTCCCAGCACCAATTACTAAAGCAATTTCTAACCCCTAGCAAAGTTCCAGGCCTCAGAACAATCCATTCTATTGTACGTAAGGCTATCTTGGCTTCCTCTTTGGCTTCTTCATTCTGGTATGGCCCTGTAGCATATAATCTTCCCAACCTCTGACATTCCCATTTCCTTCAGTAGAGCTCCGGGTACGATGGAGCCATCACCAGTCTGGCTTTACAGCCCCTGGCATAGGCTTGCTCAGATAATTCTTAAAATGATGACTGTTGCACAAAAGTTTGGTCCCTTTGAGAAAGTCCTGGCATAATCCAAAGACTTAGATAATTAAGAGTCTAAGAAATGGGAGATGAAACCCATGCTTGGGAGATCACAGGGAAGTCGAGATGTGACATGTCTCCTCTTTAAAGGAAGTAAGTGTCTGTGAACAGCCATAACGAAGGTCATGTGCACAGCCTGGGACGTGGCCAATATAAGGGAGCTGACCAGGGGGTTTTTATCTGCCAAAAGGAGTCTGCTAAGGAGGCAATTAACACCTCCTCTCTGATAAATAGCTTAAAGTTCCTACTAGACACAGTTGGCCAGGGCACAAGAATTAGTCCCAGCGCCTCCTAATGTTAAATACTCTTTAAGTTCAGTGACAAGTGCATTTGACTTACTTCTCTAGCTCATACCTAGAAGTTTATTTTCTAGTTTTACTTTCACTGTTACAGGCAAGAACGAGAATTCAACAGCGCACAGTAGGATGCTGATTTTGTCGACAGTAGTGGTACACCGCAGGAGGCCACCTCCGTAGTCAGGCAGTCTGATTCCCACCACGCTTCTATCTCTGGGTGACCCTAGGCAAGTTACTCAATTTCCTCAGATACAGATTGAGGCAAGAGGATCTGCCCCCAGGGTTGCTGGGAGGCTTTTGTGTAACTGCTCAAGGGAGCTATGTGTGGTTACTGTGTCTACTTCCCCATCTCCACTCCCGTTCTCTCTGAACCCACTGTAATCAGCCTGCTAACCCCAGTTCTCCGAAGAAACTGTCCTTGTCAAGGTCACCAACTACCTCCACTTCGCCAACTCCAGTGGATCATTCTCAGGGCTCCTCTAATTCCGCATCTCAGTTGAGTTTCACACAGCTGATCACTCCTCCTTCTTGAGACACTTTCTCCACTTGGCTTTCAGGGCATCCCTGTCTGATTCCCCACCTCCCTCCCTCTGTCTTCTGTGCTGGATTCCCATCTCTTTCCAACCCTCCAGTGTCACTGGGGTGCTCCAGCATGTGCTCAATCCTCCAGAAGATATCACCTAGTCACACAGCTTCATATACCATATAATTTAGGGAGACTCATATACCCAAATGTTACTTGACATTTCCACTTAGATATCCAGTGGGCATGTCATACGCAAAACTGAATTCTTGATTTTCCTCCTACAAACTTAGTTCTCTTGGCATCTCAGGAAATGGTACCACCATTCAACCAGTTGCTCAGGGCAAAGATTCTAAAGCTATCTTTGGTTCCTCTCATTCCTTCACAAACCACATCTAATTCATCAGCAAATCCTACTGGCGATATGTTAACAATATATCCACGATCTTACCACTTCTTCCCTAGTCCATGTTAACAACCTACCATCTCTCACTGCTGTCATGGCCTCTTAGCTGCTCTTGGTGCTTCCATTCCTGTTTCCTGTCAGGCTATTCTGCCCCTACCTACTCTGTCAAAACAGAAGCCAACTTATGCCATTCCCCTGCTCACAACCTTTCACAGCTTCCCAAAACATGAATAAAAGCCAAGGTCTTGGCCTATAAAGGTCTTGTCTGATCTGACCACTGGCTCCCCCTCTCTGGACCACCCTGCTCTGTGCTCCAGCCATGCTGCCCTTCTCACTTTTCTTCAATATTTCCAGCATGTTCCGGGTGCCTGGGTGGCTCAGTTGGTTAAGCGACTGCCTTCGGCTCAGGTCATGATCCTGGAGTCCCGGGATCGAGTCCCACATCGGGCTCCCT